GATCTTGCGGATCAATTGCATGCTGCAGGTAAATTTGTTTCCCTTCTTTTATTAACCCTGATTATTTTAAAAAGGTCACATTAAAAACAATATTCATCATGTGTCTTTTACTTTCATGTCCTAGCAAAGAAATTCTTAAAATCCTGTTAACTTAGTCCTGGATAAAATTTTGGTCTGTCCCGGTGGTCGGCTATATGCTTAAATGCCCATGTATGAAGCAAAATACTCGACTGTAATATTCTCTGCCCTTCTCAAATCTCCCAACACACATGCTCACCAAACAACTGTGCAAGCTAAAAAATGTTATTAGCTCATTTTGAAGAGCTGATCTTTTCTTCGTATGTCCTTAAATACCACTCCTATACAGAGTCCCTCTGACATTTCTTGTAGTCCGAGTATTTCTATCTTTGTGCTATGCTTTTATATTAACAGGAGAAAACTGGCTATGTAGTGCTCCAGCAAAATAGTCTAAGTAAACAGGTTGGGGGAGGAGGAGGAGCTGTTTGCACTACCATTTTAACTGTATGAGCTTTAGATTTTACATTTAATAATAAGCAGATATTTTTACGTGGATGTATTTGTTTTTACATTGGAGGCTTCACTAAGTAAATGTCCATGTGGTGTTTTCAAGTTTAGTTTGACGTTTTCTTTATGGTGCCTGACTTCCAAGCTCCACAGCAATGTAAGATGGCATATGTGTTCTATTCAGACTTGTTGGAACATTATGGGAAGGCATTTATGGGAAAATCCTCTTTTGACAAAGCAACAAGAGAAAATAATGGAAATATGCCAGATTGAAATCCTCAGTTTTAAATATATGGCCCTTTGGTGCTGGGAGTAAGGATTTCCTGTTGCTTATGAAGTGCATTAGCACTTAGTATTTGGAAATTTCAGCCGGTGGTACAGAGAGGGATTACTATAAGAGCTCTTAAGAGGGAAGTTTCTAAATACTTGCTATTACAGTGTGGGAATCTTCAGTAAAATACATGTGCTTTTATGGTGATATAAATTTGGCTCGCTAGTATTTTAAAAGAAAACAGTGGAAATATTTTCTTTCAACTAGTTGGAGCTTCCCGTGCAGCTGTCGATGCTGGCTTTGTTCCTAATGACTTGCAAGTTGGACAGACGGGCAAAATAGTAGCACCAGTAAGTATGGAAACATCTTTCATAAAAGAGCTATGATGTTTTCCGGTATACTCTTTCCTTCAAAGCGAATGCTTAGAAATGAGCTAAGTTTTAATACTGAGCCAGACAGGAAAATCTTAGTGTGCCCAGGGTGATATTGTCACCTGAATATGCATTTGCAGTACTACAACAAAGTGTGATATAAATCTCTACTTTAGGTGAACTTGAAGTCTTCTACAGACAGTTTTGTCAAAGCATTTGCATGGTGGATTTTTTATAGTTGCCTATGCTGAACGTTTTTTGATTTTCTGACAACTGTCGTTGGCATGCCAAAAGGTGTTATTGCTAACATAAACTTGAAATTATACTGGTATGTGGCTTGCGCTCTAGGAATTTTTTTTTGTTTTTTACAGGCAGACTAGATGATGCTCTTTTAAGTTTTAATAAGGGATGAAAGGGATCCCTTTTAGTAAGGGATGAAAGTGCAAGAAAATTGAGAGAGAAGTAGTCTACAGTTTGGCTGCTGTATAGTGGAATACTAAGAGGGGCACACTCTAGTGGGTGGCTTAATGTTGGGGAAAAGAACCTGCTGCACATCTTTTCTGCCATGCATCCTGAGCTCACAGGGGCCTGATTTCTATCCGCCTGTGTATTTTTGGATCTAGGCCTTTCTCTCCTGTGGAAGTCTGAGACTATTTTCATTGTTCCTTATGGGGAAAAGCAGGGAAAGTGGTGGACAGATAATGCAGGCTTGAGCATTTGAAAACAAAGAGGTACAAATTCAGCTCATCTCTGTGTCGGGTAGAATGTGAGCTAATGTGTATTGAGGACACTGCTAGGGAATTGTGACTAAAAGCCTGGGCAGGCATGGAAATCTACTAGATACAGACTTTGAGCTACATAACCAGGTAAAAATATGCAGCTCTTCAGTAAGCAGTTACCTCTGATCTGTGTATATGGCAGCAGAAGGCACCAAAGAGCAACTTTGGACGTGGTAATGGTTTAATGAGAACAGAAGAGGAGGGTCAGCTGCAAGTCTTAGCAGAGAGTAGCTTGATGTATTTCAACTATTTAACTAGTGCATTTACCAAGTAGCAGTAATTTTAATAATACTAAAAAGCTGTACGTGTCCAAAGTCTTCATAGTATCTGAGACATTTTACCTTGGCAACATCAGCAACTGCAAATTTGAGAGCTTTGAACAGTGACCATTATTCTTCCAGTAATACACGCAGCAGAACAGAGAGTACTTGGAGATCCCAGAGACAGAAATTTGGGGGTCTTGGAGTCTATGGTTAGTTTTTCCTGCTGGGTTTTCTTGAATAAGATACTTTGTGTCTCTGAGCTCTTCTGTCCTGAAATGTGGGGAGGAATGCTTGCTGCTTTTTTAAGTGCTCGGGGATCTTCTGATGCTGGCCCTGTAGAAGGGCTGAGTGATGGCTTTCCTAGGCACAGTAGTGTTTAAGCCGTAAATCTGTGTGTTAATCAACTGCTACAAACAAACGGTCTCCAAGAAGCAGACATAAAACCTGTTCATGAGAGTTCAGGTCTATCTCGTTGTATATTGTGCCCCTCCAAAATCTTGATAGTAGTGATATTAATCTCTACCATGCAAGGAAATTGCGAGGCTCTACAGATCGTAAATGCAACCCTAACTGTGCTTCCTTGTGATGCTTTCATTTTATGCATAATACATAAATGTTTGTTATCTTTTTGGAAAGAGCACGCATGACAGCTATAGTCCGCGGTCTAATACTTTCTTTTTGCTAAGGGAACATTTGTATTTAAATATAATGCACTTTTGATCACACAGTAGGCATAAGGTCACTCCTGTTGCAGCTATAGGTCTCATCGAACTGCTCCAATTAACCACATTCAGTGCTGACTCGGTACATGCAGCTGCAAGGTATATGGGAGCTGCGGTACCAAGAAGGCAGAGTTGGTTGTCATAAGGAGGCAATCTTAGCTGGTTGTCATTGTACCCAAATCTTTGAAAACCAGGGAGTGAGCTGAGTGTCGTTCAGCTGTGCGTTGTAAAAGGGCATGAGATGAGGCTGACCAGCCTTAGATCTTCACTACCCAAATTTTTTTTAATAAAGTGGAAAATGCTATTTTGAGGACAGCTCAGCTCGGGTTTGTCTGTCTCAAGGCTCAAAGATGAACATTTCTTCCCAGAGACCAGGACACGTAAACAGTTATGTTGCAATAAAAAAGGCTAGTTTTTGATGGAGGAATAGCGCTAAAGCTTACCACAGATGGCTCATAGCACCATGTGAAAGTCATAAGAGTATACAACCACATCATAGGACCACATAAATGTAATCAGAAACCTCTCTAATTGACTAACGGATATTTAACTATTGCCTCAATAAATGGTCCTAGCTGGCACAGCTGTATGGTACTTCATCTTTTTATCAGCGTTTTAGTGCATTTCTCTCTCGTCTCCCCTCATCCTTCTTAATGAGTACTTATCAAATAAGGAGTTATACAGAGTATTGAAAATTACACACCTCTTATTTCAAAGTGTTTGAATGTTTCTACTGGATCTGAAAATACAAACAAGGACAAAGATAGCATACGGTGGTTTAGAAGTGTGATAGAAAATATTTTATGTTAATTGGAATGAAAGTACAAATTGAATTTGTTTTAAAAAAAAAAAAGAAAGAAAGAAAGAAAAAATCTCAGAGTTGCCAGCTAGAAGAATTAATTTTTCAGTGTGTTGTCTAGGTATTGTAAATGGGAGAAGGTTCAAAGGTGTACATTCTTGGCTTCACATTCCTGATTTTACTTCACAGTCATTTTGGTTCTCTAGCTAGAAAATATTTCTGTGTCGTTGAAGAGATGGTTCATTTAAAGGAGCAATAGAACTGAACCCCCTTGATCAGCCGTTTTAACCATCCTCTAGAAGATGACTGCTTCCTTTTCCTACAAGGATTTCTTGATATCAGTAGTTCAGGGAGAGATCGTGGCCTAATAATTTTGAAAATTGCAAAGCAACTCTGTACGTTGATCAGTTGTGTTAGCTGAGTCCCAAGTTTTGCATTTAGTTTTGAACTCTGATGTACATGGTGCGTGTTCTTCTGGGCGTGGGGCTTTTAAGCAGGGGAGTCTTGGATACAAGAAACGGTTGGAGTTTGAGACACGCTTGCTCTCCTGTGCAGCTGTTAGTTTCTGGTGGGAAAGTGTCTTAGTATATGCTCTTACTCTTCTATTAATAGTCTCTCGCCCAGTCTCAGTGGAGGATTGGAATGCATTGTTTTTAAAGAAGATTCTGAAATTGGGTCATTTTTGAGACTGGGGGAGAAGAGTTACGTAGGCGCTCAGGAGGACGGGAGGTGCTTCTCCGGCTGATTTTTGCCTACGAATGCCCGGGGAGTGTTTCTGTCCCGATCTTTGGGTAAGAAGGTAGTGATCTAAAGATTCACTTTTTTCTTCCCTTGCATCTTTGATTGTGGATTTGGTGAAGGAAGAAAGATTTTGGTCAGTAATTTCCTGACCGACTTCAGTTTTTAAGAGTATAGCCCAGATAGTGCATGACAAGACCTGAAAACCTTCGCAGCCGCAGAAGCTTTCCTAAAGTACTGATTTATTAATACATGAACAAACTGCCTGGCGAGAAACATTTCTAGGCTTTTTCACCTCACTAACAGAAGAATGCAGTTAAATAAGAAGTACAAATTTACCTTCTTTCTGTTTGAGAATTAGTTCTATGCAGTACATTCACACTTCCAAAATAACCGTGGATCTCTGAACAATGCGCTCCCGTTCAAGTCGGGATTCATGCATTTTGTTGTTTTTCGACTGCATCTTTGGTAATTTTTCTTTTGTATAATTTTATTCCAGTTCTTAAAATGCGAGTGTGTTACTGTTGTTTCTGATTGTAGCTTTTTTTACCCACTGATTTTTGATGACTACAAGTCTCCACTTGAGGATTCTGTATTATGTAAGAGAAGGCTGATGTGTATTATCTGAGGAGGTGGAAGAAAATTTTTAGGCATCAGTAAGTTGATACGTTAAATAAATGTGAGCAAAACCATTACCTTCCTAATTAAAAAAAGGAATCTAAAATATATAATGTCTTTAATCATTGACAAGCATTTGTATTTTAAGAACCATTTTAGGAGTATATATTTTTTAATTGGAAGCCAGTTGTTTTCCCCTATGTCTTTTATGCAGGTGTTCTGCAAAAACTAAACTTTGGTCCTCAAATTGACCACTGTCTGCTGTTTCTGTTTAAGAGAAATAACTAGTAAGCCCTTGAGGATGTTCAAATTAGTAGATTTTGGATAAAAATATCTTTTCCGTTAGTGCCTTGGTATTAAGTGTTAGTTAAGCATATGCAGTTAGAAAATTACTAAATTCCCCGCACAGCTCAAGCTTCCCTCGCACCCCGGAGTAGGTGCTTTTAGGTAAGAAATTTCAAAGAGTCAACGGCTTCAGTTTGCATAGTTAAAATGTTCCCAGTTTTCTCTGTCTGTCTCACTTAGTTGTTCACAAAAAATAAAGAAACAAAAACAAAAGGCGGAAAAAGGTAAATAATGTTGTCAGTTATTTAAAACTTTCATAAATGGGACATGAGTATTTCTTTTATTAGTTCAGTATTAGGTTTCCTTATCCAAGTTATAATTAGCAACTTTTCTAACTTAAGATAAATAGTGTGCAATCTTTCTCATGAACTTGCCTAATTTCAGCCTAATATTTAAATGAAAATACTTCTGACTCTTGTATTTCAGTGTTGTGAGTCTTTACACAGAGTGGGAAAGGCAAGAAATTGTTGTAAGCCTTCAGTAGCTTCTACTTGTCTTTGAACTGCGACTGCGACCTCCCTGGGACCGATCTGCGAGGAAGGGGCATGCAGGGGATGGTTGACTACCTACACATGGGTGCCTAGTGCCATTTTAGCCAGTTGGGTATAAAGGATGTAATCACAGGGCCGGCAGATAGGGTATGGCACCTGGGAGACCTCCGTCCTTCCGGAGCAGCCTCTGGCGTTCCGGTGGGAAACCCTCCAGGAGCTACAGT